CCGGCACCGGTGTCGGCCCGGGGAGGGCCCGCCCCTGCGGCTGGTGCAGCGTTTCGCACCGTGCACGGTGGCGGCTGCTCTGAACTATCGGTAATAGTCGGACTTCTTCAAACCACGTTGGCTGGTTTGGGCCATTTGCCTTGTTTTACACCACTTTAACTTGTAATTCTTCATCGCAGAACAGATCCCCTGTTCAGAGGAAGGAAAGCTGAAAAAAGAAAGCGCTTGCTGTTTCTAAGTGCCTTCCAAATACGACAGATAGCCAACAACCTGTCGAGCAGGGAAATAAGGTCTCAGATGGTCTCCTTTCTACCAACAATGAGGTAGACTCACCCATGTTCATGAACGCCGTTTAGGGTCTGTGGATTATTTAAACCCTGTTTTGAGAGTACCTGGGCTTTGTGCTGACATACCAAATATACCTTATGCTTGTTTCCACACTTCATTTCACAGTGAGCAGCAACCAGGCATCTAAAATCCCTTCTATTCACAGGATTTAGGTAAACCGGCAGGGTTTACCAGCAGTGTTTTCTCCTGCTCCCATGTCTCTTTTCCAGGGTTCGCAGCATCGATTCACAATATGGGTGTGTATCCAGAAACACACACACAACGTTCACATGATTTCCATTTATAATTGTTAACATCATATAGCTTTTCAAAAATATTTTCCCCATATAGAATAGAAAGGACTGCTGCAAGAACATCACAGGTGCAAGGGACAGCTTGTGTGTGTTTAACCAGAAGGAGGAAGATTAGGTAATGTGAAGGTCGAAGACTAAGGATACATTGATAGGAAAAAATATATATATATTTTGCTTGCGAATAGGAGCCAAAACGTTGACTGCTTCAGGTTCAATCGCTAGAGAATATCTTACTCATTTCACTGTTATCTAGATCTAGCTACATTTTCGGTGTTTTCTTAAAACTTAAGATGAATGTGAAAACTCCAAAGTATTTATTGTAATTTGCATGCAATGCTCTCTTTGCTTAGCATGAAAGGTTCTGTCCTTTGTTAGGGATTTCATTTTTATTCTCAAAGTGCACAAAGGATTATGTCAGTGTAATAGTATCAGGATACTTTTGGCTCACGGTACTCCTTTGCTCTAGTTCACAGATATCCCATCTGTTTTCCCCACGCATATTCTGCAAAGATTTGGACCTCAAAAATACACTAAAACATATTGACACTGGGGACTTGCATTACATTAACATGTAAACCACAGTTCTACCTGAAACTGGAGAGTCTGTCTTGTTGGTTACAATAAGGTGTAAAAGTAAGAAAACCACAACTTGTTCATATGAGCTATGTATATTGGTTTCCCACCCACACAGCCACAATTAGCCTTCACTGAGTAACGTATGGCAGTGTATAAATTAACATGAAATCATTGAGAAATACCTTCAATTCATGGAAGATACGTTGATGGTTCTAATGAAACCAGCTCAGTAAGTTTCCTTGGTTGCATCCTGTAGTAGAGCTGAAGGTGGGAAAGGTGCCACATCCACACGGGGAAAAGATGGCAAATGCATATTCTGAGTCTTCGCTATACCTAAAAATAAATTATAAATATTTAGGAAGGTTTTCAGATCTGAAATGCAAACTCAGATGCTATTAAATTCACTAACACAGCTCGCAGATGCATATGCTGCAGTAGTTGTACTCCAAATTCAAACGTGTTCAAACTTAGTACAGCATTTTTCTTACCAAGTGAAAAGGAATGATGTACTCTAGTTCAATTTGTATGCTTCCTGTATCAATAGCTAATTAATTTCCTATTAAATAACCAGCAGATACATTTATATAACCATAAACATTCTTCATATGATTCCTGATATTAGTACATGAATGCATATAGACTACCACAATCTTTTCAATCAATATATTCACACCCTTAATAATTCCCTGATTTCAAGAGTCTATAGCTTCTGAGGCTCTTCCGTTTGGGACGCTGACCTCTCTCAGGCCTCAATTTTGCCTAGAGGTGATCTGGTATTTTGTCTGATATATAGATAAAAAGATAAGCTGAACAACGCTGCGATGAGAATGAGCTTACAAGTTTTTACTGAAAAATACTGAAAGAATACTGATGTACCACTTTTTTTTTTCAATTATCTACTGCTTGAAGTTGAGAGGTGAGATTCATCTTGAAAGGACCTCTCTTTGAGGGATTTGCTTATGGAAGAAACTGGCTTTTAGCTAAAAATAATATAATGAGCATGTATGTCTTCTATACACATTTTAGGTAAACTTGAATGAGGATGCACATAGCTTAACTGAACAATGGCTTCAGTGTCCTCAAGGGTATTGAGGTTTCTAGCTCCATACCTTTCAGCATTTGGGACTAAGGTTTTTATGTCTTTGAATTACTGGCCTATAAATAGGATCACTTTCAAAACCTGTCAGGTTAAACTTCTACTCTTAGTACCCAACCTGTGAGAAGAATTAAGGGAGGCCTCGAATTCTGTTCCCCCTCTTCCCAGGAAATGTCTTTCAAAATTATCTCTTACTGTAACTTTAGTGGTGACCTTTATACATAACATATTATAATCACAGTTTCTAAGCACCCCACCTGGATCCATATTTTCTTTGGTAAGCTAGATTTGTGGCTGTCCATTCTATAGCTCTGCAGAAAGCCTTGGGTCAGTTTCTCCGGATATCTTCTAGCTCCTCTCTGAGCTCCTCTGTGACTTCCCTCTGTGGGCTATTTTTTTGCTGAGTTTTTCCCATAATCATCTCAGCATACTACAGTTTCTCTTTTTCACAGAATACTGGATGCTTCCGATCATTTGGATTTAGCACATTGATATTCTAAGGTCTTTCTGTAAATGCATCAGCCAGGAATTTCTTCCATTTTGAATAGCTACAGATCACTTCATCGCAGTTTACCTACTCTCTCATGGCTTCTCCAACAAGAACAAGTGATGAAAAGGAATTCTTTTATTATGTTCTTGGCAGGTTTCCACAGTATTTTATATGGCTTCTTAGCTACCAATACGGTTTTCAAGAACAGTGAAAGGGTCAACCCTTATAGATATAGCTATGCTTTCTAGCTCACTCCTTAAGCAATCACCCATTTTAGGTACGGCTAATCTAAAGTAGCCATTGTAAAGAATTCAAAAGACTGTTCCCCTCAGGGAGCATATTCACTGCCATAATGCTGTTTAGAAAGTTTTCCGTGGTCTCATATCTCACAAGTTGCTGAAATACTATTGAAAATTCCTGAAGTAAATAGATCTGAATTCTTTGTCAGTTGTTCTCCGGTACTACATTCATTCTTCTGTTGTTGCTTGCACTGCTACAATGGATAGCAAAGCTTTTGGGGGATTCGAAGGTATTTTTTGTTTCTGAAGGGGAGCTAATCACATTTTCCAATTCTCAGCCCATTCAAAAAAAAAAAAAAAGATATGGCCATTGTATAAATGATATGTGCACCGGACCCTTAAGAACCAGCAAGAGATAGAAAGGCAGGAGGCAATGAGAAAAGGGACTCTTTTTTGCTAGGTTGCTTCTGTAAATGTCCAATGCTGAAAAAATGTTGCTGTTTGGTAGAAGTGGAACAAAGAAAAATAGAAAAATCCTCCA